ACGTGGTAGCCGAGGGACTTCAACGCAGGTGCGTGAACCTACCTTGCCATTACACCCAGTACAACAAGTTACACTGCTTTCTTTTTTTCCTTGCTTCGGGTTGCTGAGGTTTCTGGGTATCCGTTGACTTGCTCGTATATATACAAATAATTGACAAGAGAGAATACACTGCTACCAGCGAGATGCGCGCCGCATACTTGGATGCTGTTTCTCTGTTGATCTCAGAAAGGGTTCCGAACCTTTTCCTCGTGGCAATTGCCCCTAGACGAAATCCGCGAGTTCTGCAGCGAACGCCGGCTCTGTGCTTGGGCGGGTCGGTGTGTCCTCACAAGCAAAACGGGAGTAAAGAACGGAGAGGTACCACACCCTCATTGCAGACTTCTCCCACTTCCTCTGCAAGTGCAAGTCGTTGTCATGCAGCTCTTGCGTGCGGTTCAGCCAACAATTTGCTGTGTCTGGGGGTGTTCACGCAGCTACTAATGCACATTGACGTTTTTGCAGAGGGGGAGAAGCCTCTGCGGAGAGTAAACATACTACGATTCCCACCGCCAGTGTAAATATCCCGTACTCTCCTTTAAGACCCCTAGTGACTAGTTTATTTGCTCTGTCCATCAGTTGGTTGGACAACTAGATACATTACCTACCCTCCGCGAAGTCTCTTCCCCTTCCGCAGGAAGACTGCTTCTCCTGCCTTAGGTGGCCTTCGTTAGGCTCCTTGTGTTGGGCTGTCAGAGTGTGTGTTTAGGTCTCTTGGTTCCGCCAGAAAAGCCGCTTTGACTTCTGGGGGAGAAACGAAAAATGAGAACTCCCAAGAGGCTGGCGACACTTCCAAAGACGATGTGGTGAGATGCCGATCCGTAAAGGCTATTTGCAACTAGACAGCTTTGAGCAAACAGGTTGAAATATTCTGTCCCTCAGTCAAGGCATCTGTATTGCTGGCATGAGCGGTTACAAAAGCTAATAGCCATGTGTGTAATGAAGTCGCTGCAAGTTTGAAATATGTGCAATCGGTTCTTTCAAGTAATTGCGTTGGGGTTAGCTCACGACTTGTTGCGTTTCTCCATTTGGGTGTGTCATTTTTGTGGCCCCGCTGCAGACCCTTTACCTGCATTTGTATGCTGACTTCTTGCCCAAGACCGATGCAGACTACGACGCCCTGCCCTGGAACGACTGCGACCCCTTCGTAGTAATCCATTCTGGCAATGTCAAGGGACAGAAGTCGTCTTGGACAACGACTGTACAGAACAACCGCCAAAGAGAAGTGGAGTGGGAGTGCATGACCGTTCAAGTATGCAAAGATCGGTAAGTCCCAGAGAAGTACGAGAACAACAGCATCAGCTGCAGCCACAGCATGAATGCTCAGAGGGGTGCGATATATATATATATATATATATATATATATATATATATATATATATATATATATATATATATATATATAAATATATATATAATATATATATATATATATATATATATATATATATATATATATATATATATATATATATAAACACGAAACTGCTGCAATCTTTGCACAAGCGTCTCATTCGCGTGTGTGCTCTACCTTGGAACCGTGAGCGGACTTTGCTGCAGGCGCCGCCGCCGACTGACTTTTGACGTGTTCGACTCGGACACTCCTTTCATGTTTGGCTCGGGAATCCTCAAACAGCACGTTGGCATGGCACAAATGAACCGTATACCCCTGAACCGGCCGACGTGGCTGCACATGTTTGGGGGAGCAATCCACGGCGCGAGGGAAGAGTACAACACTGCTATGATCAAGGGGGCTTTGGAGCCTCCGTCGACTTACCGCGGAAGTCTCTGCGTCCTGGCCGACACAAAACGCACCAGGCGTAGAGACTGGCCCCCCTTTCCTGACCGTGCGGGTGTCCCTGTGCACATCCAAGTGACCATCGGCAGGGCGCTCTACCTGCCAGACACATACAGGTGGGCCGTGTTCGGCGGAGCAGTCGGCGAGAATGTGTCAGCATATGCCCATTTTCTTTGGTGTTTGGGCTTGCCTACATCCCCTGCAGTCTAGGGTTCGCAAGGGCTGCATGTAAATACCCGTGCTCTTCTGTGGACGTTTCGGCTATATGCTTGTGTTTATGCCCCTGCNTGGAGGGGAAGTTGTTCCTGGCAGGGGATTTTTCTCTCAGCGCCGAGTTTCCAAGCCGGTGCCCCTCACAAGTACCCTCAGCGGCGTCCGCAAGTGCCGCGAAATGGCTGAAATCCCGCCAGCAAATGCAGATATTCTCGAGTTTCCTGGATATGTAGACAGCAAAGGAGTGCTACGGTTGTACAACTGGACCTCCCCGCGGTCGCAGATGCACCAGGACACGGCGACGGCATTCAAAGACGCCAGCACGAGCAACGGGAGAAGAAATAGCCACTTGGGCGCTGACGGCTCGGATGCAGATCCCCTTTGGAAGGACCTCGCTGAACTACCGCTATCTCTACTGAACGCTTGGGTTTTCCGAGAGTCGGAGGCGGTGTTCCTCCTTCCTCATGTGCAGCATGCCTACGTATATTTAGTCCCAGTGGGAGAGGAGCATCAGCCCCCCAAGATATTTGGCCGCATTCCTCTTACTCTGAGTGCCGGGATCAAGGCCGCTTTGGACAAGCATGGCGCCACGGGAGAAGCGAACGAATGGCCACCTCGCGAAGCATTCGCCAACGACAAACCCGAAAGCGACTCTGAATTGGAACAAACAATACCATCCAGTGAGAATTCACTATCTTACAAGAACGAACTGTTTTGACCAGATGAAAACGCCCTAAACCCTAAACCGTGTATTTATTCTCAAGGACCTGAAAATGAGGGTTTGTGGGCTTGTTGCGATTACGTTAAACACCACTAATAGAAAAAACTGTAGTCGGAGAACGCGCGGGACTTTCCTGTCTTGAGTTTGCCTCCGACCTGATCTGTTAGTGAACACTTTAATGTATTTACGGTGAGCACACAGCAAAGCATACGAAACTGGCCACGACGGGTCGATGCGGTCAAGAGCACACTAATTTTGTTTAGGCAGTTCCGTTTGTCTCTGCAGAACGCGAAACTGAAGATAAAAGTTCTCTACATCCTGCAGTGCCTCATTGTGAGAAGATGTCTTGGGAAGCCAGCACACTGCAAGACCAGAACACTGATGGAGCATTTGACGACGGCGTCGTCATCGAGCCGTTGAAGTGGATCCAGGTTCGCCACAATGAAGGCTCGCATGCTGCTGCGTGGTGCAGGGATGGATGCATGCATACATACACCGAATTTTCCTTCATATTTGCACGAAGCACTGGTGCTGCGGCCTGGCTACGAGGCGCTTTGGGTGCTGCTGCGTTGAGCTCTGAAGCTGCTGCTTTCGTGTGTCGCCGCGCTTCGTTGGTTTGCAGATGCACTGGGATCAGTCTGTTACGCCTCTCCCAGAGTGCCGTTTCCCTTCAACTTTTGCTGCTTGTCTCCTCGCCTCCGCCCGGGCGGTTTTAAGCAGTGCGCCTCCCTCGCCTGGCTACGACTCTACTGCGTCAGGGGATTCCCAAAGCAGCCTCGATAACCTCAGTCAAGGACACGATGCAGAAATAGCCGACTGGTAGGCCGGGTCAAGGTTTCTACTGGAGATGAACCCCCAGATTTGCATGAAGCTGCACAGTGCCCTTTCAAATGAAGGCGACATCCTTTTTATGATGCTACCTCCGTGTACAAGGATGTACCTACTTATACAATGTGCCAGAGAAATGTTTGCTTGAACGGCGCAGGGAGGAGAACTATGGGAGCGTCCCTTTTGAACGGCCGCAGGGACCTAAACACGAAGTTCCCAGGCCCGAGGTTATTTCGGTGTTTTGCGGAGTTGACACGAGGGAGCGCCGTTGCGGTCACATAGGGAGNGGTCATCGAACATTTCGCTCTCCTCCAGCCTCGGCCATTCGACCTTCCCCGTTTTACAAAAAAGTGTTTTTCCATGGAGATATTCTGCAGGCGAGGAGTCTGCCCGCTATGGACAATGACGCGCTCGTAAATCCTTGGTGGTCCCTGGAGGTTGAGGGGGAGGTGCGTATTAGCAAATAATTGCCGGCGCACCTGCTGCAGTATCACATGCGTTCATATTTTCTGTTCTTCGTGGTGCTGCTGTAATATGTATTCTCCCTGCTTCTGCTGTTGATTGTGAAAATGCGCCTTCGCAGCTCATTAAAATGGTGGAGGAGCAATGCATCGACCGGGAAATGAGTTGCTTAAAGACCAGCTTAAACCCCGCGTTTCTACAGCGGACAGCTGTTCCTGTATACTTGTACATTAGTCCTCATGCAAACGTCGAAACTGTCACATTGTCAGGTGGACTCCCTCCCTTTACCCAGTTGCTGCTGCCGCCACCCCCCATAGTGCTGCGTCTTTTTGACATCGACATTGAAAAAGGCGGCGAGGTAGCAAAGGAGATGATAGCCCTGGCCATAGAGTGGTCCCCTGCCAATCTGGATGAGCGTTACAGAGCGGCCATACAGAAGTTGAACTCTGAAAGCTCTCGTGAAAGGATGGGCAACGGAAAGCAGCTGACAGAATCTGTGACAGACGTTAATTACGCCCACGAAGCTGTTTGGTACGCTCTTGCAAACAGAGAACAGGCAACGTTCACCGCAGTGGAAGAAAGCATGGCAAAGAGCCTCGAATGGGATGCAAAACCCCGACTGTTGGCAGCTGTTGGTTTTGCCTTGAATGGGATTGGGGAAAGCCACAGTCAGCCTCCGAGTAAAAAATCCCCAATAGCAGGTCACCGAAGGCAAACAGACGTCGACGACAAGAAAGTAGGGATAATCCCCCAGGTTGCGTCCTGGCCAGTGCTTGCTCTGGACAACCCCGCCTACGTGAAAGCTTCGAACTGTCCGCTGTTGAAATACCACTTTGACGTTGACGTGCTGGGCATACGGTGTCTTCCGAACTCGCCTGCTCAGCAAGGGGGGTCGGAGCTCGTTCTTCAGGTTTCCGCTTTCTGGCAAGGCAGCGCCAAGGACCTGCAATTGACTTTGAGTTCCTCTGACTTCCCAGGCCCCAATGTGGTGGCTCGCTTTAGCGAAACTGAACCGGTAGGCAAACTATTGCAGCTGCTGTTTCACATCCCGCCCTANTGGTGGCTCGCTTTAGCGAAACTGAACCGGTAGGCAAACTATTGCAGCTGCTGTTTCACATCCCGCCCTATTGCTCAGGCGCTGGTATTGTGCCGATGTAAACATAGTGACTACTGCTTTGCGGATTCACCTGCATAGGATTCGCGGCGAAAGGTGTTTGTGGAGGTCGTCGACGTGAAGGAAGGGAAGATGTCGCGTCAAGTCTTACTTCCAATACGCCGCAACGTTGGTGGGCTGAAATTCTCTTACACGGTTAGAGCCTCTTTCCTGTGTTCTCGGCTCTGCCATTCTCCCATCCGCCCTACTGCATATACTGCCGCACTAGGACTCTTTAAGTAATGCTGTGCATTACCCCGATGCTGTTCTTGCTACTGTGTAAACGAAGAAAGGGTCAGAAAGATTGTTCGTCTTCCGCGTTGCCTTGTTGTACAGAATCAAGCACCTCTCCTGGTCAGTGGGTTGGGACGCGCTTGTCTATAAGTTCCTTCACCACACCATACTTACCCTACATTCAGGCGGAACTAGCTCACCTACCACATCAGGTAGAAAAGACCCAGCAGAATACATCTACAAAGACTTGCAATGGCATTGACAGAACGGAGGGAGGATTAAATGGGGTCTCCTGTAGAAAGCTGGAGTCACAGGGCGCTTACAGCAGTCGTGGTAGCGGGCGCATTATGCGCAATCATGGTATAAAGGCAATTCTACCGGATATATGTTTTCGTCTGGTAAATAGAGACGGGGATGAACTGGGTACGTTGTCACTGGCGCTCAATTCGTTCGTGAAAGTGCCCCAAGGGGAGCACTGCCTCAAGCTGCAGCTCGAGAGTCCACTGTTGGCTCGGCTACCTCCACCACTGATGGATGTTGGAATGATGGTGAGTGCCCCAGTGGCTCCACTCCATGTGACCCAGCAACAACATACCCAATTAATTTTTGTGTGCACGCGGGAGTCCTGCTCTCTACCGCCTTCAGCGGTTGTTCAAGCGCAAAAGGGAAGCAGACAAATGGGTAGCTGTTGTGGTTTGCAAGAGACGGACTGCGAAAGGGGTTCTGGCGGTGTAGCTTTGCACTACAATGACCACTGTAGTGCGTGTTGTCACCTTTGTCAATTTGCGGTTATCAACTCAGGAGCAACGGAGTATGCCTGACTTGCCGTTTGTGAATACGGTGGATGTGGACGTTTTAATCGAGTGCTTTAGCGAGCACACAGGAGAACTCATATACGACTCTGACTGCAAGGCGGGCCGTATGCTGACGGACCACGACATGTTTTTTGTCCGCGACCGTGCGGGTCGTGTCCACACCCACGTCTTGAATGCTGACGACTATTTTGCCGGCTATGGCGAGAAAGCTGACCTTCCCTTCGTAGAACCCATCTTGCAGGTGTCCCAGAAAGCCTGCATCGTTGCAACAACATTTATACCCTCCTTGCTAGCGTGGCTGCAGTCAGAGATAAATATTATCTTGTTGGCGTTGCGTGCAGTGCAGGACACCATGAGCACTTCCATTCCAACTATTTTTGTTCTGCTGAACTTGTGCTCTTCAGGCCGACTTAGCTGACCCGGGCCCCACTCCCGTCGAATATGCCAAATTTTTCGGGGAAACACGTCGCTGTAGCCGCCCCGAAAGCGGGATGGTACAGCTCGGCCCCAAACGGAGGAGTGTAGAGACCTCAAAAACATTTCGCCCTGAAGATGAAGGCCACGAAAAACCTCCCAAAAAACAAGAGTGCAAAGTAGTGGCAAGTACGCTCCGGCCTGAGGCCCTTGCGTCCCTNAAAAACCTCCCAAAAAACAAGAGTGCAAAGTAGTGGCAAGTACGCTCCGGCCTGAGGCCCTTGCGTCCCTCTGTAATGGCTTGCGTTGCTCCCTAAGTGCAGCTGAGGACACTTGAAAGCCCTTTCGTCTGGAGACAAATTAAGGTTCACTCCGCTTTAGCATGCTCTCCTGGATGACGTAAACGTTCTTGCGTTTGTGGTTGTTCAGACCGGGAAGATGATCGTGTCCGGCACGCAACGCGCACGTGGCTACGGAAGCGTGGCCATGAAGCTTCCCTGGATGACGAAAGGTAGTCAAGGCAAAGAGTTTAATGTCTATATCACTCATTAGTTTCATCGGATCTTAAGCTATGCCATCTCGCCTGAGGGCTATTTGGGATGCAGTGGCAGAAGGAGGGCTCTTTTCAGCTTTCTGCTGGATCTGCCTCACGCTAATGTGGAGCTGTGCTGGATGTGATTTGCTGCAGCTCGTGTTTGCTGGCGCGGCTGATGCTGATGCGCTCTGAGTACGCCGAATCGGAGTCCCAAGAGCCGGTGACTGCGGCCAACAAGTATATGCCGAGAAAATTGTTGCCAACGTTCAACATGGTTAACATCTTCACAAGGAAAGAAGGTAACTCAGTGCACTATGCAGTCAATGTCGCAAGCGGTGTAATTTGGTGCAGACAGTGGACAGCGTTGTCGCGTGTGATGTTCTCTTGAGTTGAAACTTCAACATTTATCTTGCAATGCCTGGTCTGCAGTCAGCCTGCATCGAGCTCACCCCTTGTTCCAATAGCAGGCAGTCGTATTATTTCGTTATCCTTCCAGTACTTACTTGCTCTTTCAGGTGTGGTGGTTTGGTCGGCTTCACCGAGCGGAGGGGAAGGCCACTTCGGCAGGGCAGGGGATCTGTTGCTCATCTTTATAACGACAGTTGACAAGCAGTACCACCGCATATGCGTTCCTAGCCTAGATATCCGGTGGGTCCGGCATGGCCGCCGTATTTCGCATGACGTGCAAGTGGACAGCTGCCTCATGGATACGATAGATTTGTTCGGACTGCCATCTTCAGTTCTTCTGCCTGCAGGCTGCCTCATGCTGTGTGCATTCTCAGATATCCCCACGAGAATGCATTCTACATCTACGACACAATCACCCAGAGCTTCGTGGACTTCCATAGAATGTACGCAAGGACCGTATCATGTTTTGACACCCGCATAGTTAACCCACTAGCTGCATGTTTGGGCCTCTCCACGTTCATGGCGCATGGTTAGTATACCTGCTGTGTTTTTGTCTCATCGTCTTTATCCGCACAGATGCCTGGAACAGAAGCTAAAGCGCCTCAAGACTCAGCTCAGAGGACGCGAACGGGACAACCTGGCAAGTCACGAACGACCCTCCCCTCGTTGCACATTCCTTACTGTCTGCGAGGTGGCTATAGCGTGACCCAGATTCTCGCAGAGCACATGCTTACCTCCTTTGCTGGTTGAGTTTGCTTTTCATGCCGCGCCGCACAGGTGGGACAGTCGGACCAGCAAGAACTTGAACTAGAGATCTTCGAAATCGAAACCGAACTGGCGAGACTCCGCGAAGCCGTGCGTTTTCCAACTTCATTTTCCGTTTCTACAAATATCATGAAGAACTGCCTGAAATATTTCAGTTAGAAAACGAACTGCAAGTACCGGCACCCAGTCTTAAGACGAACACATTTTGCCTATATGGGAGTGTGCGGGCTTGGGCTTTTGCAGGGTGGCGGATACCGACGGGAGGTATGTGATGATCCCCAGGCTGGCTTCGGCTACGCACTTGACG